TGTACAATTTTACAATTTGAAATCATGGGCATAGTTGTATTATGTCACGGATTAATAATCACCTTTAGTGGTATCTACTATCCATATCTACTTATATGTTGGTAATTGTTTATTATATACTTAAGGACTGTTGGGTTTTATTATTTGGCGCGCATTAATTTTGAAAATGACTCACTTATTCTTATTTGGGGACGTGGAAGGGGAGTGTGAGCTCACTCCACACGTCTATGAGTCTTTTTGGTAGGACTCAACACAAAAACCGGCTATTAGAAACCGCCAAACTGGCCAAGTAAAAATTGATAGAATCAGCGCCACGTCAAAATCGACGTTCTTCCGTTGGTGAACCGAACCGTGAAAGTAATAGGCGGCTCAATTTCGGTGGAGGGTATAAGAATTCGATCTGGAATCGAAACTGACCGACTCCCAGATCTTCTTCCTCCTCTCCGATCTATGAAGGTCTGTGACTGTTCGTCTTCTTCGTTTTTCTTTTTTATGGTATTCCTTTCTTCTTGGTTTTATTATATTTAGTTTTGAATTTTGAATTTTTGAATTATATAATATATCTGTTAAGACACAATTAATTGTACCGATTCGAGTTTAGAATTTGAGTTTTGTTATAGTAAAAAACTTTAAAAAATAGTTACATTTAATTTTTTTATTATAATAAAAAACTCTCATATAAAGTTACATCTCAATTCGAATTAAAAATTTAAATTAACGAATTAAATGAACTATAAGTTTCACTTTTACATATATATATATATATTCATATAATGAGTGAAACGATTCGTTTCATTGATGGTTTTTTTATAAATAATATGTATTATGAGAAGAAGACACGAACCCTAGCTAACACAATATGTGCGCCGCCTCCCTCCCCTTTCTTCTTCGAGTCCAATGCTATCGTTCCGCAGATCACTGTCGTCGTCGTCTCTTCCATCGCCAATGGTCAAAGTAAGTTCTCATTTTCCAGACATTTCAAAACCGTGAGCTACCGACTGCCAAAAACCATCTAACGTCAGTCAGTTCACCGACCGACTTTCTTTCTCCTCAACTCAGTCGATTCCATCTTTTAAAAATAGACAGTGGTCGGTTTGGTAACCCAACTGACAAAAACGGTCGGTTAAGACCAATGTACAACCCTGCTTTTTGATTGGAAAATTGTAGCATATTTGTCCGTCAAAAAAAAAGAAAGATTTGTAGCATATTCTCTTAAAAATAATAATAAAAAAAATTGTAGCATATCTGAGTGCCCACTTTTTGGCACGTTGACAGCAGCCCACGTGTGGATTCCGCATCGTCAGCGTCCCTCAAACGCTACCTCAAGTGTTCAATCAGATCCCTTAACTCTCTACCCCACATTCCATCCAACGGTGATAAACAACTCCTTTACTCAATCCAATTTTATTATTATCATTTTTTTTTTTTTTTAAAAATTTAAACTCAAATTACAACTTAACACTCTTTTAAATTCTAATTTTATTTAAATTATAATTCAAATTTAATTTAAAAATTACACTTAAATCACACTCTAAAAAACAACCCAACTTCCCTCGCCACTTCCTCATCCGGCTTCTCCTCCGATTTTAATATCTCTCCTTCTCTTCCCTTAATCCTTCTCCTTCTCTTCCGCTTCTCGTCTATGTAAAAAAGGAGATATCTTTCTCTCTTGTTTCTTCTTCACTCCATTTTTCTTAGGGCTCCAATCTCTTCTGCTGGCAGCCATGTCGGACGAGGAGCACCACTTCGAGTCCAAGGCCGACGCCGGAGCTTCCAAGACCTACCCTCAGCAGGCTGGTACTATCCGCAAGAACGGTTACATTGTCATCAAAGGCAGACCTTGCAAGGTTTGCTTTTTTTTTTCTCCTCGATTCTCGATTCTCGGTTTCTTTTCGGATCTGGAATTTCGCTTATGATGTTTGGATTTTAGATCTTCGTCTTCTTTGTTCTGTCGATTGGGGAAAGAAATTAAACTTTATTTTCTGTTTTTTTTTTTATTTTTTTGCGGTCTTGTGAGTTTCTCTGCAACTTTTTTTTTATTGGTTTAAGCTAGTTTCTGATGATCACGAGCTTGTGTTGATAATTTTTAGTGAGAGAGAGAAATTATGGCGTTTGGCTATGAGGAAAATTTTTAGATCTGAAACCTCCAAGCTTCTTGTTGTGTGCAGTGGAAGAAAGCTATAGATACACTAGCAACGCTAGTGATTAATCTGTAAATTGATTGTTTTTCAGTTTAACTTCTCCTGTTTAGTTTCTTTGTTTGAGTTATTCTCCTTGTTTTTTTTATCTAGTGCTTTCTAGATATACTTGCCTCTCTTTTTCCCGAATTACTAAAAGTAAAAGTTCTTTTTGTTTGTTTGGATTGGTTATTATCATCCTTTTCTTATTTCATCGTGTTTGGTCTGAAGTTATCTTCCCGTTTGGACAGGTTGTTGAGGTCTCCACTTCCAAAACTGGAAAACATGGGCACGCTAAATGTCACTTTGTCGGCATTGATATCTTCACTGCCAAGAAGCTTGAGGATATTGTTCCCTCTTCCCACAACTGCGACGTATGAATGTCTTTCTTGTACTTTCTTTTGTATTAATATCGTTTTCTGGTTTAGTTTTTGTTTTTTCACCTTTTGTAGTACGTTTATATATGCGTCCCTTGTTTTCCAGGTTCCCCACGTCAATCGTACTGACTACCAGCTGATCGACATATCTGAGGATGGATTTGTATGGCTTTTACGTACCCTTACTTTCTTTGTCGTTTTTTTCCTTGACAATATTTTCTTCCTCGTCTAAAAGCGGAGGTTAACTTCATTTTATGCTCTTTTGAATACTTTATAGGTGAGTTTGCTGACCGATAATGGCAATACTAAGGATGACCTGAGGCTTCCAACCGATGAAGCTCTGCTCACGCAGGTTCGTAAATCCCCGAAAATTGTGCTCTTTTCTTTTTTTTTTTTTTGCCCTCCAATTCACTATCTGTCTTCGTTAATTGTTGTATATCCACCAAGGCTGCATAACATTTTGAGTATTCGAGTTGAGTTACGCGTTCGCCTTTTGTTTACAAGAAGGGTTTTGGTGAAAAAGAAAGGGTTCACTCGTTAATCTTAAGGAGCATTTAGGTTGTGTCCGTAATTCTAATGATCTTGTCTTGTGTTTTGGATTGTGCAGATCAAGGATGGATTTGCCGATGGAAAGGATCTTGTGGTGTCCGTCATGTCTGCAATGGGAGAAGAGCAGATCTCTGCCCTCAAGGACATTGGTCCCAAGTAGTTGCTTATTATTCTCCATCTATTGAATTGCTTTAAGACAACATTTCTTGCAGTACAGTTTTTTGTTGGGGTTTTATGGGGGTTGAGAATCTTCGTCACCTTTTTTCGAGAAATTATTCCTGATGGGAAGTGGCCTTGGTCTAAATGTGATCTTGCCGTTACAATACTCAAATAGTTTTGTTTTGTCCCACTACTTCCGAAACCGTGGCCTCTTCGTGGGTGTGATCAAGTTATATGAACCAGCAAGACTGTGTAACTTGCAATTTAATCTCTATTTTTTTTCCTCTAATTTCTTGATATCTCGCATCGTTAGCCAAATTTTTACTGTTGTCATCGTGTAGAGAATGCATTTTTCAGTTGATTTGGTTGCACTTGGGATTTGTTCTTTTCCTCACGAGCCACAAAAGAGGACAATAAATAAATAAATAAATTGGGACCATATCGTATTACAAAAAAGTTGTGCTCTGTTCATCAATAGCCTTTGGACTCTTGCTGCCTGCTTTCGGGAAAAATGTCAAAATTCCAAAAGTTTACCAAATCAGATTAAGGTCCCGATTCTAAAAATGTTTGGTGAACGGTGTGGTGGTGGTGGTTGATATCAGGCGAATGCATACAAACCAATTCTTTTATTGAGACAGCCAAGTCTTGTATCAGCACTTTTCTTTCATAAATTTTCAAAAATCATTGCCGCCAAATGCCAAACATAACTCGAACAAGTTGATGGTCCAAGTGGGCAAACATCCCATGGCCGATAAATTTTTCATTTCACAAATCGGATTACTGTCCCAAGCCAATCATCAGGAATGTTGCTTATCAATTCGCCACTCAGGGCCCTCAAGGAATGGCTTGTTCCTGCCTGTACCCAAGTTTAAATGTTTCAACACCTTGAAGATAAGTTGTGCAAAAGTAGAAAACTTCATTCCTAAAACAAAACGGGCCTGAAAGTTACCTTGACGATGTAGACATCAATTCCAAGTCTTGCTATCAATGCGGCTTCCGAAATCTTGGTCTTCATGCCACCAGTCGTATCATGAGCTGCCACAGTTATATCAACTGCAAAACAACAACTTGGATGCTTCATTTCTGGTAATGAAATGTCTCGAGAAGACTTTATTTCAACTCTTTTCCCATGTCAAATTATGTCATTCTACATTTGCGATATAAAGCCTAAACACCGGCTTTTGCTAACCTTCCAAGTTCTCAAGTGTCGGCTTCACAACTGACCAGCTCCCATCTTCATGCACAGCTGTTCAATTGAAAATTTAAAGGCTCCTTCAAGACAACATTTTCACAAATTAACACAACCGTCAGGGAGAATTATTGGTGGGGTTTCAATTCAATGGAGTCATTACCAATTTCTCGCAAGAGAATTGCGTCACTTTCTGAGGGTGGCCGGTCGTATACTCCCAAAACGTCTGTCTTCAAGCAACAATAATTGAAAAACAAAAGGGCCTTAATGTATGTCAGGTTGGAGTGCAAACTTAAATACACAAAAATGTAACGATGTTTTAATGGTAAAAAAGGACCCAAAGTTAACTGGAAAGAGTTAAATACCAGAAAAACGACATATTCAGGCTTGAATTGCGCCGCAAGGTGACGTATGATAACATCTCCACTCAAAATGGTGCATCCCTGATTAGAAATCTCAATCAGCAAGACAACCATAGATGTTAAAAAAAAAAAGAGGCGACTAGTTTTAATAGAGAGGGCAAACCAGTGAGTAATCAAGTACAGCATCTCCATGCATAACCTGCGAAGTAGATGAGAATCAATGTTTACGCTTCAAGAACTAAATAGACTTGGAAACAATTAAGACAAACATTATGCAATAAAACTACTCGTACTCCATGGGCAAACTGCATACGACATCAATGTTTGCTTTCTTTTGTTATTGTTGTAGAATCATCTGCTAATATGACGTGTCTATGATAGCTGAGAAATAGAACAGGGTGGTTTTCTCTTGACTAATTGCAGAAAGAAAATAATACACTTGTGACCAAAAACCATAGTAAGCTTAAGCAATATCCCTTTCTGCTCCTCTTTTTCACAGGTAGATTCGGTCACAAAACAGGCCCCTGCTTTTAGAATTGAAAACCTGAAGCATGTCTAGGACTTTGGAAGGATGGCGGCCCCACTAGTCCTTGAGCCCTTAAATTGTAAGATTCTTAGATTTTTTAACAGAGAATGGTGATATTCATCTCTTGAATAAAAAATAATAATTTCGAAGGTGGCTTTCATTTAGTTTAGGGGAGTATTCTCCTCATTCCTTTGCGAGCATAAAAATCATGATCTCTTGAAGCAGGGAAGTAGTATAGATGGAAAGAATCAAACTGATATTAAAGAAATTATCGGTTATTTATAGTCTACAAACTTACAGGTACAAAACCAGAGTCAATAGCCTTAGTCACTGCAGACAGATCAGCTGAAGCTATCTGCCCAAACATAAGAAACCCAGGGTCAAGTATATATATATATTTTTAAAGGAAGAAATTAAAAAAAAAAAAAAAAAAAAAGAACTCCAGAATCAGAACAGCTGATGAGATGAAGTTACTGACATTTCTTTCACTGGTTGACCATCCACATGAAAATGGAGACAATCCAATTGAAGGAATACCCTCTGAAAGTAAAATGCAAGAAAAACTTCATAAGGATTCAGAAATTTTTACGCGAAATAATGCAAATCAGAAAGTAGGGCTGGGAGATTTAAGCATATTAAAGGAGGCATGAAAACCGACAATAGTATAGCAGTTTGATACAACTTTAAAAGCATAGTACAAAAAATGGAAACGTGTTTAGAAGTTGGATCAAGAATAGAGTTCAAATCTTGCGCATTTAGCTTTCTTTAGTTCATCTCATTTGATAGATAATACAGCAATGTTAAACAAAATTAAGCAAGCAGCTTTTCTTTTAGTCATATCATATATACAAAAAACATATGAACATCATTCATTGTGTATTCTCATATATAACAGAAACATACATAAAGAGAAAACATACTGACAATATAGAAATAAATGAAAACTGAAACTCTTTATCTATAGCCTATAATCTGGATTAGTACCTCTGGCAAGTGCTCTAACAATTTCAAGATTGAGCTTTGTAACCTGTAACCATGACCGTTAATTTTAATGAGCTAAACCTTTTAGAACTTCTAAAAAGTAACACCAGAAACATAGGGGGAAACCATATCTTACAGAAATGCGTGTAGCAACAAAACCAGCCTTGACAAGAGGTCGGTCCAGTCCTCCTTTATGAACCCCAGATTCACTAGCTTGGAAGTGCCCAAAAGAACCTGAGTTCATCATTGGAGTTGAAGATTACTTGGTAAGTTCTATCAAGAGCAGTGTGCATTGTAGTGCTGTCTCCATAAACAAATCTCGAAGCTCAAATTTCATGAAACGTAAAGACCTTAAATCTAGAGTTGGACTGTTTAATCTTTTAATGAGCAACCCAAAGAACAGAATAATTAGCTAAAAGTAATAAGGCCAGTAATCAACCCCAGAACTAACCTGCACCGTGAACAACAATAAATGGGCTGGAGGCCATACTTGGTTGATCTCTAAAATCGTCAATGCAACATGAAATATTTGATTCACCAGCTTGTTTGCTCCAATCCATCCCAAGAATCTTCGCAGAAGGCGACTGCGAAAGCATCGATTGCCTCAGATGTGATGAGACCCCCTTGAGATTTTCTTCATGTATCGTCTCTAGCTCATTCTTGCAAGTAATTGCTGCTCCACCTAAACCCAATAAAATTAAAAAAAGAAAGAACAATTATATCAAGAAATCACTAGCAAACGCATTTGTGCTTGATTTCTCGCATCAAAATCGCCACTTTACTGTGACACAAATTAGTTACTTATCAAAAAGGCAATACCTGAATTAGGGATTGACAATTAACAAGCTACCCATTAATCTAGAATGTCAAATGGACTAAGAAAACCTTAATTGTACGAATCAGATTCATGAGATTTATCGAAAATCAACAAGTTTGAATGTTCGATGCAAGACTACTAATTGCAAAAACTGAAAAAAACCGAATAACATTTTTTTTTTTCTGCTGACGAATTCTAAAAGATATGCAGAAAAGAAAACATGGATTATAAGGTAACAAACCGAGCTTGATGATGCATCGGACTGGTTTGGCCAGATTGAAAGACGCGTTTTTATGAGTCGTTTGGTTTCTGTTCTCCATTTTCACGCTTTTGGGTTCTGAATCTGAAAGTTCTTTTCTGAGTTCTATGCGTCACAAATCTGTGTGAAGTTCACATGGTTTTCACTTGGTTTCAGTGAACTCTAGTGCTCACTTGAGTCGGGACTCGGAACTCGTTGGTTGAACTCGCCGGGTCAACTCAGATACTCGGATTTCTCATTCATCGTAAAGAGCAGAAAAAGGAAACAAAGAAAGCGAAAAGGAAAATACAGAATATATTTTGCAGCTGAGAAATCAAGCACAAATGTATTTGCGATTTTGTTCACTATTTTATTTTTTGTTTACATAACATATTAAATATTAAATACAGAGATAAAAAGAGTGACACGAAATAACGCTAACATTTCTTGATTGGAGCTTTAGCAGTTAAGTTTCACAGTCGATTTATTTCAAAGAAAATGAATTCATTAGGAAAAAGAAAAAATGTACAATCTTGAAGTCTAGTTATTACTTCTTACGCTTCTCAACATTTTAATGGTAGGTGGTTTTAGAAAAGGTGTGGGACTAGGAACCAAATATGAACGACACAATTTTAAACGATTATGGAACGACAATAGTCAGAAAACGACATTCATGGATAAACGACAACAATGAGTTAAAAGGTGTACCTTTTGTTAATTCGTTAGGGGTATTATTTATCATTGTTTTTCTCAATAATTAGATTTTCTTCTTATAAATTAGGTTTCAATCTTTTAAATTTAGTGCCTAAGTTCTTCTATCTATATGAGGAATTCAGGCTTTCTATATAATTTTAATGTCTTAATTAATATTTAATGAATCATGTTATTTAAAAAATTTTAAACGATTTTTAACTGACTCTTTCGTCCTTATCTATGGTTTTATTTAATTAGTTAAATACTATTTAATATACTAAAAATTAAACAGAAGATCTACGTCTCGGAATGAAAGGAGCAAATTTTTTAATATTTTAAGAATTTTTTGGGTAAGCCTAAAAGTGACCTAATAAGTTTAAAAAATCTATAAAAATTATCATTTCAAAGTTAGTGTCATGCCATCTTTCTATCGACTTAAGTGATGACTTTGCTAACATTTTTAGAGTTCCAGATGAGCCAGTAACAGTTTCTATATTCTGATAAAAAGTGAAAAAGTGCCTAAATTTAAGGGGATTTGTAAAATTTATACTAAAACATGTAATTTAAAAATTACAATATTGTCTCTCCAAAAATGATAATCTTTCTATATTACTAATAATGGGTTCTCTAAGAAACGTTTCGGACACTAATAAAGTGTGCGAAACGTTTTCACATTTTTTTAGAAAACTTGTTGAGGTTTCTTCTCTATCTTTTACTTTAGATTTTTTTTTTCTTTTTTCGTCTTTCATTTATTTTATATCATTTTTTTCAATTTTTATCTTTTTTGCAACAATTTGTGTTAATGTTGTTTTAAATGAATTACGTGTGCTTTATAACTAGTATGTATGAGTATTGTTTTAGTGGTTACTCTAATATTTCCTATCAATGGATATCCTTGTTTCAACCGTAAGATTTTAATCCGACAGTTGTAATAAATTAGATAATTGAACAAAAATTGTTAATGCAATTAATAAAATTAAATTATTATCACGACACGTTATTAAAACTATAAATTAACATATTGTGGCTAAAATAATAATTTTATTGATAAGTAAATATGAAAGTAGCCATTTAAACTACACCCTTTGTACTCCCTAGAATAGGGATCTTTGTCCTTGTTGTGTAATTTAATGATCATAATAGTCAAACAAACAATTTAGGATTCGTTTAGTTCGTTAATTTGAGTTTTTAATTCGAGTAAAGATACGATTTTATGTGAGAATTTTTTACTGTAGTAAAAAAGTTAAATGTGATTATTTTTTAGAGCTGTTTACTGTAATAAAACTCAAATTCTAAATTTGAATCGGTGAAATGAATGAGAACTTAATAATGCTTCGAAAGTTCAAAATCAAGCCTGTATAACATGGATTGTTTGTAAGAGAGAATCCAAAATGTTTCGCACATGTTGCTGTCTTTTTTTTTTTAATACTTTTTGGGGGTTTTTTCCCTGTCTTTTGCGGTTTTTATTTTTTCAACTTTTTGGTTCCCTGTTTTTTACTTTTTTCCCATATTTGTCTTCATTCTTTTATGTCTTTTTTTTTTTCAAACAATTTATATAACCAGCGTTTTAAATGAATAATTCGTTGTTAATGTATTCTCTCCTTTGAACACTAATAAAATGCGCGGAACGTTTAGCATGTTTTTTTATTAACTTTTTGGGGTGTTTTCTTTATTTTTTACTTCAGACCTTTTTTTTGCTTTTATCTTCATTTATTTTATGTCTTTTTTATACACTTTGATTAGGACTGACAATTTGGGTAGTGACACGACTCGAAATCTGTATAAAATTAACGGGTTTAGATTTATCATAAATAGGTACGGGTCAAAATCATGTTAAACCCGTGAAACACGATTAAATAACATGTCATTTTCAGGTTGACCCGCCAATCCGCAATTGACCCGTCATAACCCGTTTATTAAATGTGTCATATTTGGGTAACACGAATACACAACCCGTTTATTACCCATTTTATAAACATGTTAAAAAATATGTTCAGAAATAGGTAACACGACTCATTTATCACATATTTTATAAACAAGTTTAAAAATATGTTCAGAAATATGTTAACACGACTCATTTATCACCTATTTTATAAACAAGTTCAAAAATAGGTTCAGAAATAGGTTAACACGACCCATTTATCACCAATTTTATAAACGAGTTGATAGGTAATCAACGGGTTGACACGACACGTTTATGACCTGTTTAATAAACGGGTTATTCGTGTTGTGTCGTGTCAACCCGCTAATATACAGGTTGTGTTTGGGTTTTGTATTTCGACATGATTAATAAACGGGTCGTGTTCGTGTCAGACCTATTCGTATCAACTGAGGGGGTCAACACGATACGAACACGATCCGTCAACACGAATTGCCACCCCTAACTTTAATGGACAAATAGATGAAGACAAAAACAAAAAGGAATCTAAAATACTCTTCTTGTTATTAATTGATTAAACAATAGAGCCTTTAATTAGGTTGTACATTAACGGAAAAGACCAATAAAATAACAATATACTCTAAACCACTTAGTCTAAATATGAACCACTTACTTCTAAAAAACTTATCACGTCTAAACAAATAAAACAAACTTAATAAAAATACCTAAAAATTAGGATGACACAACATCAATTAAATGACCACGTAACACTAATTCAACATTTTTTCCTCTTTCTCCTTTTTTTTCAAAAAATTTGTCTAACCGTTTTTGACTAGTATTGAGAGAAACAACGATGTACAAATACACGACGAAACGACATGAACCGGAAAAAGAAAAGGTCTAAAAAGTAAAAAAGGAACAAAAAGACGAACACAGAATAACAACATTACAATACGACAGTGATAATTGATAAGAAAACGAAAAACGAAAAAAAAAAAGTTAATTGGAAAAGGGCGCTTTCCTTGCCTCAAAAACTGTGACAGATCTAACTCCTTGAAGCAGGATATTTATTTGCTTCTCTTGTGCAGTCGTTAGATCGCAGTTCTTTGGTGATTCAAGTACTTAGTACTCCTTGTTAGTTTCAGTGAGCTTAATTTCATCTGCAATTAAGAGGTGGTTAAGAAATTAGAAATATTACTGCAGTTGCAAGAAACAAATTTTCGTTTCCCAATTCATATGTTACGTTTCACGAGCTAAAATTTATTATTATTATTATTATTATTATTTGCATATACACCCCTGACAAATAAAGGATTTATCAGTTAAATCCGTCATTTACAAGTAAGTCTTGCAATCCTTTATTTACAAGCCAATAGTTTAATTTATTTAGTAAATAACAAAGTTATCAGGTAAATCCTTTATTTACTAACTAAAAGTGCGGTAAATAATGAATTTATTTGGTAGATCATTTATTTACAAAGTCAAAAAATAATGTGTGATTTTGGTACATAAAAGATCTACCATTTGCGTTTTAATAAATTCTTTATTTACTAGCCAATTGTTATAGTTTATGGGGTAAATGACGGATTTACTCGGTAAACGCATTCTTTTAACAGACAAACTCAATTTTTGTATTTTTAAAAATAATCGATTTACAATGTAAACCGACAATTTACCATTTAAATTGCCAATTTACCAGAAAGTATATTGTGGTTTAGATTTATGAGGTAGATTTTACATTTACCAACAGAGAAATATTGAAAGCTTCAGAAACAAAAACAACACGATCATTGAATAGAATCCTCCATCATTTACCAAAACAACATGGTCACCAAAATTCCGACTACACACTTTACACTTAGAATCAGATCAAGGACAACCAAACAAAAAGAAAATCAAATCAACAAAATACATTAAAAATTCGACGCAAACAATAAAATCGTGACAATTTCGTCAATCCCGCTTCTGACGAGAGCAACGATTTGTTCATGAGCTTTTGCAAGGTTGAGGAGACGACGGAATCGCGACGACCGTCACAGGAGAAGACGACAGATCTGTGATGAAATTGTGATGGTTGTCACCGGAGAAGACAGATCTGCTACGAAATTATGATGGTCGTCGCCAGAGAAGACAAATCTATGACGAGAGAGAGAGAGAGAGAGAGTGAGTGAGAGTTGGAGGAGAGAAGATGAAAATGGGTTTCTAAAGGAGTGTTTTGATGAGAGCATTTTTAGTATTATTGTCGTGTGGTAAATGTAATTTACCATAATTATAATATTTATTAATCTTCTTAAAACTTGTATTATTTCCTTATTCTTCTCGATATTTTAAAAATGTTATTTTTCTCTCACTCCACCCACATAAAGTCGGTCCGTAAAGGGTTTTTTATTATTGTTATTATTATTATTATTACACATGCAAGAGTTTGGCCTTTTCTTAAAAAGTTTTTTTTTTCTTGTTTTTTTTTTGGTGAGGTTGGCAGCTGGTTAGTACAACTTGTCCACGAACAGCGACAAATAACCACAAAAACAGGCGACTAATTGCTAACCATTCAAATCGCTACTTACATTTTTTGTCGTTTAAGGATCATTTGCCCAAATTTTGTATCTACCTCTTTTTTGGGCTGTTCATTGAACACGTTGATTCTTTTCTTCATAAACAACACAAGGAAAACAGTATAAAACAATGTGCAAAGCGTTTGCTAAAAAGCACGAGTTAAAATTTTGTGTTAAAATATAAAAATTATTGTTAATTCACCTCCTAACAGCTTAAGTTTTTAGAATAGATTGATAAATTAACATGGTATTAAAACGGGAGATCCTGAGTTCAAACTTCCCTAATTGCACTCGTTATTTCCATTTAAAATTATCATGTGTTAAGTCTTTAATATATCTCGAACTTAAATATTAACGTGTTGGGCTTTTTAATTAATTTATCTACACAATTATCTATTGTTCAACCCACACGTGAGGGAGAATAATAAAATATAAAATTTATTATTAATCAACTTTTTAATAACTTAAGCTTTTAGAATGAATTGGTAAAGTAACATAACGGTGCAACACTTTCTTAATTCTTAATCAGTAGTCCGCTGCAAATAATTGAGGAAAGGAATTATTTTGTCGTTTACTAATTTAATCTAAAAAAGTAGTAATTTTTGTTTAGTCCACAGCAAGTTTATTGTGTTTTGTTTCCTATGGAATCTCTTCCACGTCTAAATTATTTAAGCAAACCACTGGTTTTGCTCTAGATTCTCTAACCGAGCAATAAAACAAAAGTTTTGTTCACTTCGTGAATTTGAGTTTTTAATTTGAGTTGAGATGTGACATTTTTTTAGAGTTTTTTACTGTAATAAAAAATGTTAGATGTGACATTTTCTTAAAATTTTTTACTGTAGAAATTTAAAATTGAAAAATCGAATCGGTGAAATAAACGAGACTAAAAAAAGTGTTTAGCTTAACCATACATAATTTCTCACGTGCTTGGAACCTTGAAAAGCATCTGTCGTCTTCTTCAAGCTTTTACGTTTTCACCAACTCCAAAACAACCTCAAACAACAAATTGCAAATAGAAAAAATGATCTATCACAATGTAATCAAAACTGTCACATGACGATATTACACTTATTGCTATATAATTGTTCTAATGCGGTATTACAGGTTATACTCAGCCAATTACGATGAATAGCAATGTTACTCTAAGTATATCATAAGAAGTCAAAAATGCAAAAATCTTTTGTTAACGGTAACTGTATATACCACATGCGCAAAAAGAACGATGTCGTTTCTCAATTATCAAAAACTCAGTATCGTTTAGTAGGCGTTCGAGGCTGAGCACGTGGCAACTTGACAAGAGTTCCGTAGGCTACCCTTCCCAAAAAGCATCACGGAAATCATACTTGTTTTCTCAGTCCCATCCAACCCACGAGGCACTTAGCCAATTACCTTTCGACCGATCAGTCCAAAATCCAAATATATGTATTTTTTTTGGGAGAAAATTACTCAACTCATTCTTATGAGCTTAGATTTTTTATTAATATTATTTTAATTAATATAATTATTTAATTAAAAAATTTTAATTAAAAATAAAAGTATTTAATTAAAAAATTTTAATTAAAAATAAAAGTATTTATACATTTAAAGAAATATTTATCTCATTTTTAAAAAAAATTAATAACTCTATTTATTCATATCATAATTTAAATTTTTACTATAATAATTTTTCTCATAAAAACTTAAAATTTAACTTTTTATATTACAATATTTTATCTATATAAATTCATTTCGTAATTTAAGTTCTCAATTCTAACCGAAACAATCAGGTATAATAAATAATTTAATCTTAATTAAATAATAATAAAGACAAAATAATGATTGCGTCTCTTTTTTGGTTGGAGTTACAGAGTACCAACGGCGTGGACTTTTTTCCTTGCTGAATTCAGAAAGATCCGCAAAGCCAAAAAAAAAAACCAGAACACACACACAGAGGGCGGGAGAGAACAAGGAGGAATCTTCATTTGGTGTGATTTAATCCAATGGCTGTGAACGAAGAACGGCCATCGGAATCAACATCATCGCAGCCGTCCATCTCATCAGCTCCTCCTCCTCGCCCTACGATCACCCCACCACAGCGTACCTCCTTCGAAGCGCTCTTCAACGGCGGTGGTGCTGGGTCGGGCTTCGTGGGCTTCAGCCCAGGGCCCATGACTCTCGTCTCCAGCTTCTTCTCCGACGGCGACGACTGCAAGTCCTTCTCTCAGCTCCTCGCCGGCGCCATGGCGTCTCCGGCGGCTGCACCGGCGGGCCCGAGCTTGCTTCTTACAGAGGAACGAACTGCCGGAGGCAGCTCCGTCTCTGTCGACGGCGGTGCCGACGACGGTGCCGACGACGATTTCCGGTTCAAGCAGAACAGGCCGTCGGAACTGGTGGCTTCGCAATCGCCGGTGTTCACTGGCGGTTTGCCTGACTCGCTGGGGTTATTTTCCCCTGGTCAGGTAATTTGGTTTGGGTGTTAGTTTGTACAGTTTATTTTATTACTTTTTTGAGAGTTTGTACAGTTTATTTTATTACTTTTTTGAGTTCCTAATATCTTGGAATCAGTTCTTGTTTAGGGTGTTAACAGTTTGTGATGTTAAAATTAGTCCTTGGTAATTTGTTAAGTGTAAATATTGTTTCTTTTGGTTGTTGGGGAAACAGGAAAGAAAAGGGGTTTTTTTTTTTTTTTTTTGGCTTGAAAAAGGACGAAATATTCATGAACAATGGGATTTTAGGGGGTAAAGCGTTGGCAAGAGTGACGAAAAAGCCCAAGTAGGTTTGAATTTTGTTAGTGAGGATTATACCAACACAAAGAGGATATTCATTTGAGTGGATGTGGAATATGGAAATCTTTATGGGATTTGTGAGTTGCAGACATAATCCAGCGGTAATTGCATACCTTCTACCTAATTTCACGTCAAGGTATAGAGTTTGAATTCCCCGATTTCAATTTTTCATTTTTAAACTTTACTGGATTTTAAGAATAATCCAAGGTTATTTTTTGATATAAAGAGGATAAAGGGGTAAAAGTACCTGGATTTACATAATTACAAGTAAAAGGGAGGAAAATGATTAGTTTAACTTGAAACATATAAAAGTATACCAAACAAATGAAATCTGAGGGCAAAATATTTGGCTGCAAAATTAACATTATGTTGAGATTTGTTTCATGGTTTGAAGTCCTAATGATTGTGGTCTATGAATGCGATATATAGGGACCCTTTGGAATGACCCATCAGCAGGCGCTAGTGCAGGTCTCGGCTCAGGCTGCGCAAGCCAATTCCAATATGCCTATGGAAACCGAATACTTAGCCTCTTTATCAGCACCACCTGCTGCTACTTTGACACAACCCCAAGCATTTTCTTCAAATACAACTACACAACAGGAAGTGCCATCCTTAATGCCCGACTCTAGCATTGCAACGAAGGAATCGTCAGATTTCTCTCATCAAGACCTGAAATCCCAGTCATCTTCATTCGATAAGCCCAATGATGATGGCTATAACTGGCGTAAATATGGGCAGAAGCAAGTGAAGGGCAGCGAATTCCCTCGAAGTTACTACAAGTGCACACATCCAAACTGTCCTGTTAAGAAAAAAGTTGAGCGCTCTCTTGAGGGACAAGTAACCGAAATTATTTACAAGGGCCAGCACAACCACCAACGCCCTAAACCAAACAAGCGAGGAAAGGATGTTGGAAATTCAAACGGGAATTCAACTACTCAAGGGAATCGTGATTTAGTTTCCCAAGTTCAAAGCGGATATTTTGACAAGTCAACAGAAGGGATGAGTACTTATTCAATATCCAGGATGGATCAGGAATCTAGCCAAGCAACAAATGAACATTTATCTGGGACAAGTGACAGTGGAGAAGCAGGAGAAGCTGTAGTCGGAGTAGAAGAAAAGGATGAAGATGAACCCGAACCCAAGAGACGGTAAACCTCTTCACATATAAAGATCTTTTTCATCCTAGTGGAGTGAAAGTGACAACTTCTTATTTGTTTGTCTTCCGTTTGGTAACATTCCCTTTCTTAATTTTAAGCAGAAGCACAGAAGTGAGGCATTTAGAGGCAGCTTCTTCACATAAGACTGTCACAGAGCCAAGGATCATTGTGCAGACAACTAGTGAAGTTGATCTGTTGGATGATGGCTACAGGTGGCGAAAGTATGGGCAGAAAGTTGTCAAAGGCAATCCTTATCCGAGGTGACACGCTATTTATATTTTTTCTCGTGAAATGATTGTGCTAAAATAAGATTTTACCTTTTCAGAAAGTGTCCCAAGTGCATCAATGAATATTTTTCTGAATATATAGCCTTAGGAAGTTCTAATATTCTACATTAAAGCAAGTTAAGTTTGATAATGATGAAGCATCTTCCCTGCTTCATTCAACTTCTATGAAGTTAACAACAGTTTAAAACCTTTTCTAAGAAGCATCAGCGGATATCCTAATTCCCTGGTAAGCAAGTTCACTAAAAAGGTTGTCTTCTGCCGAACTAGTTAGGCAAATGCGAGAAGCGCTAAACTTATTCACTCTATATCAAATTGCATGCCATTATTGTTGATCTTGTATTTCTTAATATTTGCCTTCAGCAACGCGGTTGTTTTTATTGATCATGACACTATGTTGTCTTATTCCAATCTACAGGAGCTACTATAAGTGCACAACTACAGGTTGCAATGTCCGCAAGCATGTCGAGAGGGCCTCATCTGACTCTAAAGCCGTCATAACAACATATGAGGGCAAGCATAATCATGATGTTCCGGCTTCTAAAACTAGCAGCCACAACACAGCCAACAATAGTTCATCAAATCAAAGACTGCAGGGTACAAGAACAGAGAACCATCATGGATCAAGAAACCCGATGGGCCAAACAAACAATGGCCGAAAGCCTATAGGACATTTACGTTTGAAAGAAGAGCAGATAACATAGCTTCTCTGGCTTATGAAGATAAGAAGATTCCAATGGAGTAGGGGGCTGAAAATCTTCAGAGTATCAGGTGGAAGCTGTAAATTATGGTTACTTGAATATGTTTTATGCACTTTGAGGGCCATAGTTTTGATCAAGGCTCTTATATCCAACTGCTAATACACGGGGGAAAGGCTAGATAAGGGCTAGTTAAGCCAGTCTAAACAAATTTACTTTAGGTTGTGTTTGATAGTAGTTTTGTTACATCTCATGTAAACTAAGTTAACGAGCGTTTTGTACAAAGTATCTGACTTCTTTGCATTCTTTTGTATATGAAAATACGAAGTAATGCTGTTATTCATATATGTAATTATTTGATGTTTCGTTAGTTGTTGATGTTGTTGTCCATCTTTTTTTTAAGTGTATGAATGTTAAGGGAGCTTTTAATGCTTTTGGCGATAATATAAACTTGCTTCTGTTGTTTGTTGTTAAAGTTTTTAATGTCGTATCATGTTCTTTTAAGTGGATATTCATCCTTTACTAAGGAAACAAGTGCATGATTGTTCAATATTTGCACATTTTATGAAGTATATACAATTTAGGTTGTACTATTGTTGCCCAAGACCATTCCGTCTAAAAAGCTGATTAAAGAAAGAAACGTTGTATTAATTTTGTTGTCTTTTTTTTTTTTTTTTCTTTTTTGGTTTTGAATAGTGAAATTCAATACGAAAGAGTCCGTATTCATACTCAAATTAGAACTATTTTTTGAAAATCTACCAAACGGATAAGAAATGTTTCTGTAATTTTCTAAAAATCTTAAGATTTTAAATTAAATGCGTGGTTTTTTGTAATCATTTTTCAGATTACCTAAAACCCTCAATTGAGTCCTATCAATTTATTCTCTTTTATTTTGTAACCAAGTTGCCTAATCCTAGTCAAACGAATCCGTGGGAGTGGATAAAAGCCCTACTCTTGAGCCAATTTTATTTTGAATGTTGAAGAGGTTGTTAAGGCTTAGACACTATAAGACTATACTAAGTAGAATGGTAAAATAAAATAAAAAAGATAATTAAGTAAATGCACAAAATTTATAGTGCTTCACTCTCTATGTGAGAGTTACGTCTACTTTCAGCGGCGGTAGGACTTTTACTGTGACGATAAAAAAGAGTGTTAAAGTTTGTATACTGTCATGCTTGTTTTCATTAGCCCTTAACGTAATTCCTGTAATCTACTGTTCGTGTATAGATCATACAAGAAAGCGTTTCTCAAGAAGCGTAGCCTTATTCTGAACTTGATGAGTTTGTAATAGTAACTGCATTTGAACTCTCTCTAATACATTTCAAAAACGTAAACAGGAGAAAATATGAAAAATTTTCCTCAAGTCCGTCAATTCCTCATAATATCGTATAATGGGGTATCTATAAAGCTGTTGATTTACAAAGAGATAATGGTATTTTCTTTAACTATTTTGTGTGGAAAGTATTGCTGAAATTTGGAGGTGGTTTAGTCGGAAAAAAAAAAAAAGTGGAATGAGATGAGAAGGCTCATGAGGACTAAGGGGTGAGGGACCAGGGACGGGAAGATTAGTGGAAGGATTTTGGGACTTTTATATTGTTGGAGAGAAAAGAGAAGTGAATGAAACTAAAGCGAAGAATTTGAGGATTTGTTCTTTTGAGTGAAAAATTTAAAAAAAAGGTAATTTAAGTTACAATTTTATTTGAGTTCATATTCTTTTAAGTTTAAACTCGAGTTTAAATTCGAGTTCAAACTCGAGTTTAGGACTAAAACTCGAGTTCAAGTTTCCCCTTCAACTCGAATTCAGAAACTCGAACTCAAATTAATGAACAATATTTTTTCTATTCTTAAAAATGTTATAACTTTTACGTTTTAATTCTGATTGAGATGATTTTTTTTTCTATGCGTTGACAACGAAATGACGAATAAAACCCGACCCATATACCCTATTAAAATTTTTCATCAGCATTGAGTTTTTATTAAAATAATATCTAAATACAAATTTAAGTTTTGACTCACGCAAACACAAACTCAAAAAGATTCTTATCTCAAACCATAACTCAAATGTATACAACCAAACACAAACTCAAGTTACAAGTTATAACTTAAATTTAACTCAAGAATTATACTCAAGTTAAACTTTAAAAGAATAAGCCCTGAAATTCTTCAAAGAATCTCAATTTTAATTTCTCCCAATAGAAAGATATTAAGAGAGAGAATGCGTATATTATATATATATATATATATATATATATATACACACACACACATCACACGCAACAAGAGAAAGGCTATTTCTTTTCTCT